AGGACCGCGCACTCAAAAACGGATCCCAACAAATTAAAGTATGTTTGCTGATAGTAACACCATGTGATTCAGCTAATAACACAGGGATTTCATCATTTGTGAAGCCAGGCTGAAAACACTCAGCAATCTGTGCATTCACGACTGGATGTAATACCGGTAGCTTAGCTGTAGCATTTGTAGCTGAGGGCTTCAGCTTCCGGGTAACATGGAAATGACGTCATTCACGTAGATTACTGATTGGCAGCGCTAACTCGAAATTTCGAGTTGCTTTTCTCAAAATTTTGAGTTAATATGTCGAAATTTCGAGATAATAACTCGAAATTTCGAGAAAATAACTCGAAATTTTGAGTTATGGATCCTTTTTTTTTTTTTAGTGGCGGAAACGGGCTTCCATATTTTGCAGCCAAACATAACCTAAAAATAAAGTTGGTTTCCTAATTCTGAGGAAAGGTCAAAACTACTCAGTCAACACATTCAGAAAGTCTGCTCACAAAATGTTACTACTTTGCACCACTTTTTTACACAGAGTCAAATTAAATCTTCACACTTTTAATTACTCTGATTATTTGTGAATTTGTATCCATCTAAACCTAAATAAGCAACACTGAAAGGAAAAAAAGATTCTTTACTCTCGATAAACATGAAGCAATAATTCTGAGTCAGATGCAAATGCAAAGGTTTATTCATTCAAATAACGAATCACTGAGGGATGATGTGCTTGGTATAAACTGGATATCAATTAAGTAAATTTCTTTAAATGTAACATTTTATATTGTATTTTGAGCAGATTTTTTTTTATTATTTCGGTGTGTGATATATGTGAATCTCCTGAATTTGAGTTGAATTGTTCAGTACCTAAGTAGAGCAAAACAAGGGTGAGCTGACAATTGTAGAGCCAAAGAAAAACCAATTATATCATAAAAAACTTTAAGTAGTGGAAACTTTTGGGTCTTTTAGTGCGACTACTTCTTGAATTTTAACACACAATATTCTTGGCAGTGCAGGCTTTATTATAAAGTATCCTAGCTGCCCTAGACTGTAGAACACATACATTTGGATACTGACTTTGATATAATTCAGTTATTGTGTTTTGTTGTGTGGAAAGAACTTCTAACATAAGGAGGTTTTGCAAGTTCTCTCATTCAGCAGGGAATGTTAAAAAAGATTGACTCTTACCAATTTGGCATTTCAGAAGCTATTATACTCCAGATTAAAGCATTTTTTTCATGCTTTTGTTTTCTAATTTGGTTATATCATTATTTATTCAATAGAGTTTGTCCATTATTTATAGTTTTTCATTATTTTTGAAAAGGTAAGATAAAAAAAATATTTATTTATTTATCTGTTTAACATTCAGTTTAATGGTGTCTGTTGAAAGTTAGTTGTTTTGTGTTTTTTTTTTTTTTTTTCCTCGTGTGTGTATGTATCTATAATAGAAGGGAACAGTTGACAAGCAGATATTCCAGCCCGCACCTCAAAAATAACCTTGCTTTCTAAGATACTGAAAAATGTAGTTTGTGCTGTTATGGGGTTGCAAGTTCTTATTGCCAGGGTTGATTTTGTGTTTTACGGACTCTGACCTCTGATCTGTTATTTAGCATTCTCTGCTTTTGATCATAATCTGAGTTTTGTTGTTTGGAGTTTTTTGTCTCTATTCTTGTAATGCTTCCTTGTTTAGTTTTTTTTTCTTACAGCTTTTGTTACCTGGTTTTCTGTTAGATCAGTATTGTTTTGACCCTGGTGTTTTACTCTAGCCTTCCCAGGATGGAAAAGCTAGACAAAGGCTTCCTTTTGTGACTTGATAAGTCTTTGCCTCAGTTAGTGATTCCCTGTTTAGTTACTTCCTGTTTGATTTTGGTACTCTGTTTTTGCTGACACCTTGTATTTAATTTTACTTCCTCCCTGTCGTTTCAGCCACGAATCCCACCAGCTACCTCTCCCCTAATTATTTTGTGTCCATGTTGTTTGAGCCTCTCCTTATCATGTTGTCCACATTTCCTAAGCATATTCTGGATGTTTAGCTTCCTTGTTATCTTCTGGATTGTGAACTTTGTGACTTTGTGATTTTTTAATTTAATTTAACTTCTGCTTTTTTTGGACCATGAAGTATTAAAGCTTGTTAAAACTTTATCTCTACCTCAAGAGTCCCACATATGTCAAACTTTGTCATTTACACAGAATTCTGGACATTTAATGCTGGCACTGTTAATAATAATATGTACATCAAATGCAAGAAAAGGACTTACTAGTTCTAAAATGCCCAGATGGGACACTATTTGGACTAAATTGGGCCAGCTACACATGACACATTACAGTAGTTTTATTACAACCCTGTATGCATTACAACCCTGATGTTGGATGAGAGAGTCTGGCTTTCAGCCACCATTCATTCCAAAGGAGATCAGGGCCAGTCAAATTCTTCTATAGCAAATTCATCCAACAGAGCCATAATACACCTTGCTTTCATCATGTCCAAACGGGCTTTCTCAAGCTGAAGCATTTAGATTTCGCTTCTCTGGAACTAAAAAGGAGGCTCTCAGGTTCAAGCCCACAACATTTCCCCCCAAAATTTAACTGGCACAGTGGAGAGAGACAGGTAATGTTATCCTGGCATTTCAAAAACTCAGATTTATCCATCAAACTGTCAGGTAGAGAAGCATGAGTCGTCACTCCACAGGACAAGTTTCCACGGTTGCAGAGTCCAGCGGAGACATGCTTTACACCGCTCCATTCAAAGCTTGTCAGTCTTCTTGGCTTGAAGTAAGGCTTGAAGGCAGCTACTCCGACATTAAAAGCCATGCCACACCTGGCTCACAGTTTTTGTGCTGATGTTAATGATGATGTTTACTCACTATGAAGCTCATCCCTCGGTGACCCCTCTTTGTAACTTTACTGCCTGAGTTGCTGTGGTTTCTAAACACTTACTCCTTTGCAATAACACCACTTACATTTGATGATAGAATATCTAGTAGGGTAGAAATTTCACAAGCTAACTTGTTGCATCAGTGGCATCCTATTAAAGTAACATGCTCAAATTTATTTAAGTCTTTAGAATGACCCATTATGTCTTAGTCATCAAATTTGGCATTCTGAGTAAGAGATGTGGTCCAATACTTTTGTCCATATTGTGTCCAATTCTTGACGTATAATTCATTTATCCTTTACTTTAAGGCTGCCAGTTTTTACTTCCTTGTTCCAGAGCACAAGTAGAACAGCTCCCAATACTTACAAGGGAGTAAGGATCTAAGGAATCAGCAAGTATTTTTAGCTACCGAAAACACCCTGAATTTAGAAGAACTATGGGGTGAATGTTCAGAAATTACACCATGAGTCAAGGAACATAAAAGCAAATATGTCCTCTTCTTTTACTTTAACAGAGCCTTTCCATGAAATCTATTTTTGCTTGTTGCCATATTGAAGACGAATATTTAGTAGACTTTGCACAGAGTAAGATCTAAAAGACTAGGGGATAATAACCATTCCTTTCTGCTCTGCTTACAGTGAAATCGAAAGCTTTAAAATCTGTACAGGAAACAATTTTTTTTTGTTAAACTGCTTCAGAGTTATCAGTACAGGTCTATGTTAAGTACTACCATAAAAGACTGTAAGACACTGCAGTGAAGGCAAATTGAAGCATTTTATTTGAGAGTTTGTAGTTCCAGTCAGGATTAACAGGTCAAACAAGCACATCTCAGTCTCACACTCAGGAAAACTGTCTCACTGGCGGGGAGTTACTATAATTATCAACAAAATGTCAATACTCTGAGCCTCAGTATTTAAACCTAATGCTGTGAGTACTGGACTGGGGTAGGGTTTCTTTGGGGGGGCTGCTATGAATATTGCATGGAGGACGGATGAAGGGAATAAAAATGTCCTTTTTTCCCTTTTTTTTATTAAGAAAAATGCACTTCACGAGGAGAGCAAGCCACGTGTCATATAAATGCGGTCGGACTGTGCTTCCAGTATTGTAGTGTCTGCAGGATTTAAAGCATCACGTGACTTTTCGTGTGCTAAGCTCTGGCAGAACATCACAGATTAGTGTTGCACGAAACGACTTACTACAACACATCTGTACTGTAACACAGCCAAAACGGTGTTTTTGTTTTTGTTCTCTTTTAAAGTCCGATTCACATTAAAGATCAACGCGTTATGCAGCATATTCACACTGGCCCAGTAACTAACAGTGAGTCAGACACCTGGGGGATTCTGTTCAGCTTGAATAATTAATTCCTGTTTAGTAGAAGAAACGCTTGTGTGGTGAGATTTCCTGACAAGGGATGCCAGCACGCGCTGTAACAATTAATTTGTGTAGCTTCAGAGAGGTCGCTCCGTGTTGCAACCCCACCCTTCGACAGCACACGGCATTTTACACCCGCTGTTCTGCATCCCGTGCGCGGCCCGTGCACTTCATAATGTTCCCCATTTCAGTCAGTGACAATATCAGAGAAATCCGGTGGCAGCCATCTTAGGTGTGCCACTGCGTGAAGTTATGAGGGGCTACACTAAACGCGGAGCCGCGCGCGCTTCAGACTCGGATCTTTGCTTAGAGTGCGAGTTCAGGACCACGGCCAGCTCCGGTCGACCGGGTTGGCAGGAAGGAAGAGGCCATCTCCCGCTTTCACCGAAAAAAAAGGAAAGGGGGAGGGAAAAAGCCGATCTCGTCCCCTCACAATCCCTACACTACAATCCCTCCACCCCTCCTCTCCGACTCTTCTCACCTCCCCCTCTCACATCCGCAGCAGCGACTGGCCAATAAAATACCGAAAATACGTAAGCACCGACGAGTGCTCGGCGCAGGCGGAGAATGGTCAGTGTGAAGCAGACTATAGCTCTTCCAGCATTACTCGTATACAGCTGACATCCCTCAGCCAGCGAGTACAACCAGGGCCTATCCCTAACTCGACTTCAGGCACATCCTGCATTATATCTATGCACGGGTAAGACAGCGGCTCGGCCATCATCTGGGGATATATACATATATATATATATATAAAAAAAAAAAAAAAAAAACCCAAACAAACTCAGTTAGTAGGTTCGGATTTCTGTATAGGCGCACCACTTCTAGTGCAAGATGTTAGATCCGTCGTCCAGCGAGGAGGAATCTGATGGGATAGTGGAGGAGGAAAGCAAAGAGGCAATGGCTCCTCAGGCCGGATCCCGCATCTCCCCGAGCAGGACCAGCGAGAGCTCGGGTGGACTAGCGCCCAGCAGCAGCCGCAGCAGTGCCCGTCCTACTAGCCCGAGCCCCTCGGCCGTCAGCGAGGAGAAGGAGGATCTGGAGAAGCTGCACAGAGAGGAAGAAGACCGCAAAAAGAAGCTGCAGCTATATGTTTTTGTCATGCGATGCATCGCTTACCCGTTCAATGCAAAACAGCCCACAGATATGGCAAGGCGGCAGCAGAAGGTAAGAGCACCCGGTGCAAAGGCATAACTGATAGCCACATGATGACGAAATACCTCCTTTCATATCGCAGATGTTGTCATTGATGACCTACATAAACCAGAGTACAGGTCTGGCCACTAGGCCCTATCCGAAAGCGCATGGAGACAGCAAGGTGCCAGTGAAAGCACCGTTTGTTTGTTTGACGCAAAATGTTGAATTCATGGAGCATGACAGGAGCATATAAAGGTGCTTCGAGCTTCTGGTAGTGAAGGGGACTCGTGGTGCTGCAGAGCTGCAGGCTGAGTGCAGTCCATGTTCCTCCAGCACTCTAGCTCGTAGATGAAAGCAGCCCTACAGCCCAGCAAGCCCATTAAGTGAAAGGGCGTTCAGGAGATGGTGGATGGCAAGTCACAACAGGACAGTGTCATTGCCCTTGTTGGCCTACATTTTTACCGAACTCCCGATGTCAATTAGATAAGCAGCTGTATATTGCTCTGTCCTGCCTGCTTGGCGGATACCCAATCCCAACCCGTTTGCGCCATCACTTATCCCGTCAATTTGGCCTCCCAAGGTGACTTTTAGGCACAGACCTCTTGAGGAGGGTAGCTTAATGGCCTCTCTTCTCTGAAGATGAGCTTTGCTCCTCTCAGTGGCCTGTAGAAAATTAATTGCATTAAAACATTTTCAACGTTGACACATTTTTAACCTTTTACTATTTATTATTATTATTATTATTATTATTATTATTATTATTATTATTATTATTATTATTATTGTTATTATTATTATTTTAACAGGACATTTATCTTATAAGATTTATATACCTTAGCTACTGTAAAGGACAGGGCCAACACCCTGGCTTCTCAGGCTGCTATGTTGGTCCACTGGTGTTGATGCCAGTTTTGGGTCATGCTGTCCTTACTGTCAAAGTCACCATGCACAGGCCTACTGTGCTAAGGGGAACGTTCAACTGATTGTAAGTTAGGATAATGCCCCTTGTATATTTCCTTTGCTGTATGCAGACTATCTGTTTGACTGACCTGTCAGTTATGAATTAAGAAGCCTCTGTATGGATCAGCATGTTTTATATAGAACTGCTTGAATACTGAAACCTTGTCATCACATTGCATGACAGTATCAGGTTCCTAAATCTCTCCTCAGAAGGAAGAAGTTCTTTGTTACTCACTGTGGTCAGGAGGCTTTCAGAAGAGTCATTCATTTTGGTCGCTCATTCATTTTAACACCATGAATACTACTATGGAAATATGCATTTATAAGTGCTGCTTTCATTTAACATGCAGACAACTTGTCTTCCTCTGGTCACTGTTAAGCCATATGGTCTGAATTTTCTGCTGACTCATGCACAAGTCCATGTAGGAGGCATAAACTGCAGTGTTTCCGTCCATTTGTTTGTTTGTAGTCTGTTGAGCGTAGGTTACTGATAGTCTAATGCACGCCTAGTAATGCACTTTCATATCTGGTTGCTCAGGCAGCCACAATTCTCAGTTGTGGGTGAGTGAATATCCGAACAAACAATCAAACCAGGAACTCAGAGTGTGTCTGTCTGCCCACAGTCTAGCTGGTGTTTCTGATTTGATCCAAACATGGATAAAAATCACACATTAAAATAATTGAAAAAAAAAAATCTCAATTTTAGGCACAGTGAATTGGTTCAATCCAATCACTTGATGAGCATGGCTTATAACACAGAACTATTAACAAAATGGTGAGCACCAACATCTACGTTGATTATTTTGAGGCAGTTGTGTGCATTTATAACATCGTGGAGTTAGACAGTAGTCATCAGTTCACTGTCTTTTAATTATATTTCTGTCTTGGGTGGATATGGAGAAATAATTTATCACACAAAAAGAATATTTAACATTTGTCTAATTACATTTCTATGGATTCATCTTAGCCATGAACCTCATGTGAATGTGGGCTCCTCAGATGTCCATAGACAATAATTTATTAAGGTAATTCCTCACAGTGTTGGCAGCACAATCTAATATGTGCCCTATTACAATTTTAGCTATTATAGATTAGTCACAGAAAAATGATGAAGCAATTTCTGTAATGAAAAGACTTAAAGGCCTCAGCAAAACATGTGGAGCAGCTCCATGATAATCCGTTATTAGAAGCTCTGGCACACAAACAGCAGTGATGGGCTATCACAGAGAAACAGGCCAGGCTGTAGACTGTGCAAGCTCCACTGCTGCTTCTTGAAATATGTTGCCATAACCTTGTGGAAGATAAGCCAACAGGGCAGGAACAGGAAGGTGACTCTTTTTCAGGGTATAAAAAGTAAATCTTACAGTACAGTCTGAACAACGTCTTAAAAAAAACAGCAGTTTGTTGCTGCTCACTGCTAGCTTGGGTGTATGTGCATGACTGAGTGGTGACACATGTGTTTGCTTAAAAGGCTAAGTATCTTGGGACCCACACAGCGAATGTGTTGAGTATTGAGGTTACAGACAGATTGCGTTGGTACAATTTATGAAATTTTAGCATCATTGTGATGGTCCCAGAGGGCAAAAACCTCTTTCATTCAATGGGAATAAACTGCACACACAGAGGAGTTAAATAAATAAAATACAAAATACAAAATTTCCCCTTGTGGGACAATTAAAGGATTATTCTATTCTATTCTATTCTATTCTATTCTATTCTAAAGACATGTTGGCCTTGAGGCGACTTATGTTGTGATTTGGCGCTATATAAATAAAATTGAATTGAATTGAATTGAATTGAATTACAGTAAAATCACAATTTTGCATTTTGTTTTCAAAGTATAATGCAAAAAGAAATGTATAGGTTTAGAAAAATATGACTGTTTTTAATGGTTGATCTGATGGTTGTCAGCTTGTTTGGTTGGTCAGTTTGACTTTAGTCAGAAAATGTAAATATTATGTAACAAGTGTTTGGTATTTAATTGGACTGCCACTAAATGTTTGTTAAAGGAACACCTACCAAATGTGTCAATGAGAGCTTAACTTGTTGATGTGTACAGCTCAAAGCACAAGAAACAAGAAACAAGCAGGAACGAAATTCTGCTTTGATTCAAAAATGTAGCCAAGGAGAATAAAATGTTTGCAGTCTGATTAATCAAACCAAGACCATTTGCTTTTATAGATCGCAGTTTATGTTGATTTTCCAAAGTGAGTAACTGTCCATGTCAGAATTACAAAGTGTGATTCCCTTGAAGATAATCTGACCTAATCAGTTCATCTGCCAGCAGGTTCACTTAATAGAGTTCCTTCTGGCTCAGCATTTTAATACTATACAGTATGCCATTTATACTGTGAGGGAGAGGGGCTGTGAATTGTACAGCAGGGTTTGTGATGTGAATTTGAATTAGACTGAAGTGCAAACCGATGTTTGCCACACAGGTGTTTGCAGAGAACTGTGGGAGTTTCACTGTGAACAACTTTTCAATGAGTGAAAAAGATGATTGTAAATCATCACGTTAACGTTGCACTTGGCTCACAGATTGCAGATCTGTCTATATGAACATCTAATTTTTTCATTGGTGCTTTTCAACAAAAGCATCAATTTTGCCCCTTTCAGTTTATATTTCTCAGTGTTTCATTTTCGTTTCGATTGTTATCATTTCTGCGGTTTAATCTTTCATTAGAATGTAGGACCATTTGTTTAGGGGCCAGACTGAATATGTTAAGAATTGGTATAACAACGCAAACACTTTGTGAAAGCAGTTGATTTACTGCCATGCAGACGTTCCTGTATTAATAGCAGCTGCTGTTAGCTGTGTAAATACAAATTATATACAATTTCAGCTGCTATTTATTTCTTTAAAGTATGGTAATGTTTTATTTTTGTTATTAACTAAATCCACTTAATCACACTGACTTTCAGTTTTTAGTTTACTCTAACTTTGGCAAAAGACAGGAGATTATCAATATCGAAACAATAACACTGGTAGCGCTCAGGGTGTTTGCATAGACATTCAATGTTTATCATTGCTATTGACAGCTGCTACATTTGTTTATTGGATAATTATTGTAATATTCACGATTCAAGTGACTACTGCACGGTTTTAAAAACTGCACTGTGTAGTGTGCATTCATCTCTTTACTCAGTGGCATGTATATTGCCCCTATTGCCTTCTATTTCTACCAAAAGACACCAGATTATCTGAATGGTGAATATGTAGATATAAACAACTCAGAGTGAACTGACAAACCTCAATATATTCATAAGACATTCAGTCATATGTGCAAAACACAGTGGCACTAAATGGAGAGCTGAAGTATGGCACTGAAATCATTTGCATTATTATGTAAGATCGCTGAATGGTGTTCTGCTTGAAATTTAAAAAAGACATCCTTCGACAATAAAAGAAGCTTCGCTGTCAATGGCAAAGTCAAGCATTGAGCTGAAAATAAAACATGTCAGTCAGCGCTTGAGAGCTGATAATAGGAAAAATTGTTCTCTCCCATTAAGCAGCAGTCTTGGTAGCATGTTTTAGCACCGCTAGTATAGGAGAATAAAGGTGTTTATTGACGGTGCGGATAAGCAAGTGAATTCAGAAGGGGTGACAGCTGAAAAGCAGCAGGCGAAATACCCCCTCACCCACGATCTGTGCAGCCACGTGTAAATTATCACAGCTTCTCAAATTAAACATCCTCTCTATGGGGACATAACGAAGGAGGGAAGCTTAGATCTTATTTGTCAGAATACTAACAATGTCTTTTCCTAACAGCGCTGTACTTTGAAGGCAAGAAATAGGGATCAAATTGAATAATACGTGCTCTAGTAATAATCCAACATTTTGGTGTGATGCTCACATGACATGTGCCATGTGCTCAATAAACAGGCTACCAAAATGCAAATGTTAGAGCACAGAGTCCTGGCATGTAAATGCATGGGAGTTTAAAGCTGGTATGGATGGCATCATGTGAGGGATTATTCCACATAGGTGGGAAGACGTGAGCGTGATCTGGCTTAAAAGCAATATCCCACGTAGTATTTTATCTCCTTCAATGGCTCTCAAAATACAGGAT